CGAGGCCCTGATTTTTTACAGCAGGGCCATGGGCGTCTCCCCCATCCAAATGTGGGTGGGGGAGGTCCGAATCCTGGTGGGGAGCCAGATGAAGTACCTGGGCCTCACCCTGGATGGGCTTTAGGGATTTGAGCAACATTTCGCTCAAATCATCCTCAAAGCAGACAGGATGGCGGCCGCGTTAGGCCGCCTCCTGCCCAACGTGGGTGGGCCAAACGTTAAGGTTCGGCGACTGTACGCGAACGTCGTGCAGTCGGTGTCCCTTTACGGGGCACCGGTATGGGCCGAAAAAGTCTCGGTCAGTCGGCGAATCAAGGCGATGATCCATCGCCAACAACGCCGGCTGGCCATCAGGATTATTCGGTCCTACTGCACGACGTCGTTCGTGGCGGCCACGGCTCTGGCGGGCCTCCTCCCGGTCGAGTTTTTGGCGAACTCGTACGCCGAGGTTTATCGGCGTATGAGGGACCCCGACCGCACCGGGAGTTCCCGTTTAAGACCAGGGGCCGTGGAAAGAATAAGGAGGGAAGCCCGTCGCAGAGCCATCTCCCAATGGCAGGAGGCCATTGCGGACTCTGTGACGGGCAGATGGACCACTCACGCCATCCAGCCCTGTCTACCGGAATGGGTAGACAGGAGAGGACGAGGGCTAGAGTTCCACCTGACACAGGTACTCACCGGGCACGGTTGTTTCGGTGACTACCTGTGCAGGATAGGCAAGGAGCACACGACGGGGTGCCACCACTGTGCGGCCGGTTGGGACTCGGCGCAGCACACCCTCACCAAGTGTGAAGCGTGGACGAAAGAGCGCCGGGCCTTGACCGCAGTGGTTAAACAGGACCTTTTCCTTCCGGCATTGGTTCAATCAATGCTGGAGGGAGAGGAAAAATGGAAGGCCGCCTCCGATTTCTGCGACACCGTAATGTCGCGGAAAGAGAAGGCGGAACGCATCAGAAGAGGAGAGGCGGAGGAGGTGGATAGTACTCCACCACCTTTCCCACCTCCCCACCCTTTCCAGAGAAGAACGGGAGGCAACGGCGGCGGGGGAGTTTCCCCGACCGCAACGCGGCGGCGGAGGAGAACCATCCCCCGTCGCCGCCGTACATAAGCCCAGCGTAGGGCTTGAGGGAAGTAGGGGTCTCTCAGACAGCGGCGGTGACCAAACACCCACTGCCGCCACCAACTGATCTGAGAGACCCCTGGGACGGTATTCCCCTTAGGGATACTCCCCTCAAGAGAGGCTGGGTGGAGAGGGAATTTTCTCCTTCTCTTTCCAGCGGGGGTCAACCGTGAGCGGGGGCTCACGGTGGTCCCAGCCTCCCTCTATAAACCAGGAAGGGCGGGGGAGACCGTGGAAGCCCGGTCTTCCCCCAGTAAGAGAAGAACTATATGGGGGGGAAGAGAGAAGTCTTTTCTCTCTTCCCCCCCCCCCATGGGACGAGGCCAAAAACATGGCCAAACCCAAGAGGGGGTGAGATGAATGCCGCTGGCGATGCCTCACCTTCTCTCACTTTGGGTTAGGAAGGCTACCGGCGGGGGTTTTAGTGGGTACAC